TATATATATATATATATATATATATATATATATATATATATATATAGTCTAAACACAAAATAAAATATATTTATTGAATAATCAGATATAATTGAACATATTTTTAAACTTAATGTCTAATATCAAGAATAAAATAATAAATTCTATCAACATTTTAAAATAATAAATATTTTTAAGACTATAAAAACTATTACAATAATGTAATTAGCCATAAATGAAAATTTGGTGGAAGACTACTAATGAATGCATGTTAACAGGAGAATTCTAATTTACATAATATTAATATTATCTTTCTTCTTTTGATTATAGTAACCTGAATCAATGGGTTTCTCAAAAAATCAGCACAGTATTGAAGACATGAAAGCAATGATACATTGGTTTTAAATTTAACAAACCAATTCGGCATTATCATTCATCCGTCCCTACATCTAACCCAACTGGAATCTTACTCGTTTTACAAATTTAAAATGTGTAATTAAAGATGTAGATGAAAAATATAAATAATTTTAATTTAATTGTTAATACTAGATGGTTACCAATTGCTGAAAAGTTGAAGATGGTTCATTTGTTAATATAGGAACATTTAACATTGTTTGATTGCAAGTAGATTTTTGTTGAGATTGTAGTTTATCTTCTTCAATTTGAATTGTTTCTTTCTATTAAATCAAATATAATTTTTAATTTAAATATAATAAAGTTGTAATATAAACAATAATGTAAATGTTCAAAATGTACAAATTTACAAAAAATATACTTTTTTTTCAGCCATTTTCATTTCTCTTTTTTTCTTTAGAATTTCACACTTCTGTTTTAAATGATCACGCCAATTTAACCATTTTTTTTCATATTCTATATACTGAACCTAATCAAAATAATTATTTTAGTATAGATTGATGACAGAAAAAAATAAAGCTATGTGTTTATTTTTTACTTTATCTGGATGATTCTTGTTTTGTTCTTTCCATTTAAGAAATTGTTCTTCCCATGACTTAAACTGCTCTTCGAATAATGCTTCAGTTTCATCATTTAATTCAATTTCTTTTTTATTGGCAGTATCAATTTTTAACTTTTTTTCATTATTTTGATATTCAGGCTCTAGTCCTCGTTTTATCCCTACTTCAGTTTTAGTAGTGATCTAATAAAATATAATAAAAAAAGGTTTTATATCCTGAAAAAATAATTACTGCAAGATTACTTACTTGTTGAGGTTGATTAATTAGTTGAGGAAGAGATGGTCCTACTGTTGGTTGGTTATAAGAATATTGTTGATTTTGAAATGGAATTGTAGGGTGTTGTGATGATGATAATGAGGGTTGACCTGGGGGCAATGGAGGTGCTGGTTGTGGTGTTGTAGTAGTAATTTGTCCTGTCTAATGCAAATACAAATTATATTTTAAAATATTATTGTTAATAAAATATAATTAATTAATTAATTAATTAATTGTCATGACCACTAGGAACAGAAAATAATTTTAAATTAAAATTATTCTAATTTCCTTGTTCAATTATTTTCATTCATTTTGAATAATGTATTTGACATTAAGAAATGTTCACAATTAAATGGTAATTGTAACAACATAAAAAACATTAAAATGGGTAGAAAATACATTTAACATACAAAAAAACTTTTGATAGCTTATTTATATTAGTCAAAACAACAATAATAAATAGTAGATAATTTTTGAAATATTCTGTAAAATCAATTAAATAATACAATTTTAATTACAAACCTGTTGTTGCCATTGTTGGAATTGCTGTTGCCATAGTTCCCACTGTTTCCATTCTTGCCATTTTTGGACCATCTTATAAAACAAATGAAAAAATAAATAAATCATAAGTCATATATAAAATTTAAAAAAATTATTAAAAGATACTTACAGCGGGATCAATAGCATTTGGTTGAAGTGACTGAGCCATCTAAAAATGATATAATAAATTGCTTAAATCATTAAAATAATTTTCAACTTTTAACAATAGAAATTAAAATAATTGGAGTCATAAATGGAATACAAAAAACTAAAATGTATGTGTTTATAATATTTATCAATCTTAAATACGGTAATATAATTTAACCATTGTTAATGAATATATTACTAAAAACAACTTAATCATTATTTTAATTTTTCAGATTATATTTTGGTTGGTAGGTACATACAATTTAGGTAACACAAAATTAATGTTTGGCAAATCTGTTACTTTAAGTTTTTACAGGATAATTTATTTATTTTAAATTTAACATAAACATTTTTAAGTCAAGTAAGTAAGTATTAAGAATTATTTCTCAAAAACAAGTTAAAGTTACAAAATGTTTAATGTATAGTTTTGTAGCTCAAGTAATATGATTTTAAACATAATGATAAACTGCTAAAAATATTCTAAATCAGAGTTCTTACAATTTTTGGTAATATGTATATTTTCACAAGAAGCTAAATTAAAAATGTATTTATAATTTAAATAAAAATAAGCTAAATATATTTTAAAATATTTTAGAACCTAAAAAATGTTTAATAAGAATCAGGTAAAATGAATAACATTTTTATTTAATAAATTATGTAACTAACTTGGAAAGAAAACAAAATGTCAATATATTAGGCTTATGTATAGCATAAGCAATAGCTAACTTTATAACATGTTATCTATAACTCTAGAAGCACATAAATTTGTTAGTTTTTATAAATAAAATCTAAGTCTAAAATGATAATGAAATTATCTAACAAGACTGAATATTTAAATTTAAATTACTAAAATAGTAATTATATATTAATTGAAAATAATAACTAATAACACAACACAATGAAAATAGATACAAAATACAATAAAATAATATCAATATGATATATATGTAAAAGTTTAAAAAATATATTCAATAATGTAAGCTAAACATATTATTAGTCAATAGTCTTATGAAACTAATAACTTAGAGAGTCAGAACAAAAACATAACTAAATGATAATATAATATATTCAATAGGCACATAAAATTTAGAGCCCATTAAACAATATCAGTTGAATAACTGTACTTAATAGTTCGTAAGGTATGAAAAAATTAGGTAGATATAATTTACTGATATTGCATTTGATGTTACATTATTTTGTTGGCTGATCTACAAACCATTAATAAAAACAAAAGCCAATCAAAAAAAAAAAAAAAAACTTAAACAGTAAGAGGGATTATGAAAATTTACATTGAAGGGAAAAAAAGAAGACCAAAAAAGAAATTGTTGAATGTGATTGAGAATGATATGAGGGCTGTTGGTAAAATGCGTAGGGGATGTAGAAAATCAAGATGAGTGAAGGCTTAGGATAAAGATGGCCAACCCCAAATAGTTGGAAGAATGGCAAGGGAGAAGAAAAAGAAAGCTGATCTACAAACTATTAGGTTAAGGAATAAAGTATGTAATCGTAATGTAATTGTAAGCATTTAATACAAAAAAAGTAATTGAATAAATCAAATAAAGCTTTTTATAATTACTGATATATTTTGTACGGGGTTCTGAGTAACATAGAATGGAAAGTGTGGTGCATTATTTTCAAAGCTGTTGACCATCGACTTGGGAGCCGGTGGTGGAACTGAAGTCGCCCACGGATTTGGAAACATAGTGTATCACCTATTGCACGAATATAGGTTCCTAAAATATTATGTTTGCCTTAAACATAATGTAGGGGATAATTACTTACAATTATTATGGATACGCTATTTTTAATCTTTAAGCGTAATATTTTTTGATTGAAAAGTACATCCATCAAATATTGAAAAATTATATTTCTGTAATCGATGGGCTGTTATGATTTCCATTATTTGATCGGCTTTAACAAGAAATCCAATACATTTCATTCAAGGTTGATTGATTAATTGAATGTAAAACAAAAAACGAATGCGATATTGCGAAGACGCGAAATAAATATGTATCAACCTATATAAAGCGTATATAGTGTGATGTGTTTGGGTTCGTTCGAGACTCCTGAGTTGTAACCAACGCCACCAGAATGTTGGTTACCTGTACACATGATAACAGATAAGACTCGAATCAAGGTGATTCAATCACAGATAATAGAAAAATTACTTTATTATCTATAGATTCAATAGTTCACTTTAATTTACGACTTCTCCATTTAGTAGTCAGCAGAGATTGGATTAGTGATGGGTGCTACTGACTAATTTGACAATCGATAATCTATCGATAGTTTAATAAAACACAGAGTATTTATTAAAACGGACGACATTATTAATTATTCAATATTTTTCAAAATATCTATTGAACTATTGAACCTGATGAGCACTACCGACTAGTTTTGACTATCGGTAGTTTTAGAAAACAATCGAAACTATCGGATATTATTTTATACGCGAATAGATAGTTTTAGAAAACTATCGAGTATCGAGTATTTTATAACATGAATATTGACAAATGTGGGCATTAACTAGTTAGTTTATTTTCTAATAATCTTTTTAACTTAACTAGATTAACTGGCAGTTGAAATAACTTAGCTTTTTATAGTTGATTTAAAAATGATCTATCAAGTTAAAATTTTTTAAATTTTTCATTTATACGTAAATATTTATAAAAAAATTAAATAATCATGTAAAGTAAAATGGTTTATACACTGTAAATCAGATGTCATATAAGATTTTGTAGGTTTGAGGGCCATCTTTGGGTATTGGGTTCTGGATACAGAATGTTATTTTAAAGAATTTTAACTATAAAGAAAAATAAATATGGTAGTGAGTGGCTCCTTGATGTATATTGTACAATGTCATAGTATTTTTCACACTTCAGCGCCACTGCTGTATATTATGATAAAAAATTCAATAGAATCGTTTATTATAATTTAGGATATAAATCTTTCTGAAGAACGAAGTCACTTTTTATGTGATCTACTTCCTAATTAACGAACACATACCTATTTACTTCACATAAATAAAGGTACGTCGTTTTTCTTTTGAATAAAAATAGCAATCATAATAAAATTAATTTAATATATATTTTTTAGTTGCTAGTTTATTTTTTCATATAATCCATTCCTTTTTTAAAACTAACAACAATTAAGTAGTCTCGGATATTTAAATAAAATATTTCCATTACTTACATCAATTTTTCTCCATTTACTATTCATTTAAATTATTAATACTCTAAATTTATAAATTTAATTACATTAGTATTTTTATTTTTTATTATAATAAATATTTTTGATTCACTTAACCCCAAGATACCTCTTTTTATTTTTTATTAACAATTGAAAGTATAATGTTTTTTAATAATATCTTATTACGATTTTGTAAGATATAAATAATGTTTATAAAAATATATGCATAAATAAAAATATAATATGTTAAAATTTAATTTTCAATACTTTTATACAATTTAAATTTTTTTTATTATCATAACTTATTATTGTTTTGTTTATACATCAAATAAAATCTTGTCATGCATATGAACATTTTAAGTTGTAGCGTATACTATATTGTGAGTAGGACTAAGGTTTTTAATTCATAAATTCCAAATATTCTCGGAATAAACATATTATAATACACTTTAAACATAAAATTAATATTTTAAAAATAACATTAAACAAATTTAAGTTTTAATACCCTCATACAAATTAATATAATTCAAATTTAGATTTTTTTTATTATCATGACTAATTATTATTTTGTTTACACATCAAATAAAATCTTGTCTTGCATATGAACTTCCTTCAATTTTCAAATTTTGTATTTTAATGATTAAACTTTAAATATTCATTGAAAAAAGTATGAATTAAATTTCATAATAGTTCCAATCAGTAAATTAATGCTTTTCATTTAGAAATTTTGGATTGATGAGCTGAACTTGGTTATTCAGAACCTCTACACGGGGGGCACCGACTTATCCTTGTATAGGGTTCATATATCATCTCCTTCATTTCTATACTAAATATTCAATTTTATTATTTTTAAAATATTTTCTTATTAAAAATTTTAGATTCTGAGTGAAGCGAAGGATCTTATGGTTTTACAATGATGTTTTTTCTTCTTCTATTCTGTAAACACTTTTTCGTATTGAAATCCTAGTCCAAAAGTCTCGACCAGTAACTCTTAAGATTTGAAATTGGACTGGGGTGGTACTTTAGACAGGTAATTTTTCGAATTTCTGAATATTTTTTCCAGTAGAGGGGAAAACCGAAAAGAGACGGGCAAATACGGTAAAAATATGCCGGGACTTTCGTTTTTTCACACTTTAGTCATTTAGTTATTACTTTATAAGTAATAGGGATAGGAACTTGACAATTTTACCATATATTAATGTCATACTTCTTCATATATCATCACTAAATTTTCAAAATTATTTGAGCACTTTTGGCCTAAATATAGAACTATGACATTTATACTCCTATATTTATTATTAAATAAGATACATAATAAATTAAGCATTTTCCAACAGTAGGTAGTAAACCTTTTTGCTTTAAAACACAATTAGTCATGACTGATACTGTTTGAGTGTCCATTTTTTTTCGTTAGTTACAACTAGACAAGAAAGAATTATTTTATTATTCATGTATATTTTGTATTTCGTATATATTTTTAATAATATTTTTTATACACTTATATGGATTGTAATGGGGAAATACTAATAAGTTTAGTGGAAATAAGACCATCCATTTATGATTTTGGAGACAAGGACCAAATTTTTATTTAACGGATGAATTCATAATTTTTTTTTTCTTTTTTATAATTCTGTTCTTAATTTTGTTATGTGTACCACATGCAAATCGTAACAACTTCATCAAATGACATGATGACAACTGATTTTTGTTTTGTCTAATGGTGTTTTGTCTAGGTAGCGTACACTTTTTAAAAACAAAGTGTTTTTAGTTGACTAACACGAAAATGACTAACACTGTCTAACGCAGTTTTGCTCTTTTGGTCTGAGATCGGCCTAAAACAATCGAGTATCGACAGTTGACGAAACAATTCCTAGCAACCCGTGATAAATTGATAACCGTATTTTATGGTATTTCACCAAATTGCAAACTTACTTACATTATAATTTAAATAAACGTAAGTATATGTAAAATCATTTTCATTAATATAACAATTTACATAAATACATGGTATTTATAAATGTAATACGTGGGGGGGAGGGCAGAACCCCCACTTACTATAAGTTTATTAAATTTTAAAACATCCCGTTAAATGAATCCTGGATACGCCACTGCCCATCAGCATTACCTATCAGTGGCGTATACAGAAAATATTTTCGGGAGGGACTACTATGAACAGAGGGCTGCATCCGAATTGCGTGCGGAAAAAAAGAACTATGTTTGACAACAACCGATTTGCGTGCGCGGTTTTTTCGAGACACAGCCTAATTACGTGCGTGGTTTCTTCATGACAGAGCTGAATTGCGTGCGAATATTTTATTTAAAGACAACTAGTTTTCACCGAGCTGGATGTGTCGGCCGGAGAATCATTTATCTATATCTAATACGATGGCTATATATTGGTATTATAAATATATTTCAATTTGTAGAAATCTTGAAAAATGTACGAACCAATGTTTATGTCAAAATTCGTAGCTCAAATGTAACAAAAAAACGACGGGAGGTATTAGAAAAAGATTATATTAATGACATTATGCATCAATTTCAAAATAAAATGTTAACTCATTTGGAATTTATTGAAAAGTTGGCGTACAAAAAATTTGCCAGTTAATTTTTTAGTTTGAATTCAAAACTCAAAATATATATATAAATAAACCTATTTTTTTTTTATTTTTTATTTTTTCTTATTTTTATAATATTTCGACTGTAATTTTAAATTACATTTTTTGCTACTCATATAAAATATTTAAATATAATCGTTTTTATGAGATACCTACCTAATAATTTTATTGTATTATCACTTGAATTAATATTATTTTAATAATTTGTATTCGAAGAATAAATGTATTCATTAAATATTTAGTGTAACTCATTGGTTCATTTAAAAGTAAAAAAAAAATTGTCCGCAAAATGTGTGATCTGGCACACCGTGCGGCATCAACACTGTATCTCGCACGCAACTCGGAACCGTCGGGACAGAGTTATATTACCACTACAATATAAGAATTACTATATAATAAGACACAGTAGGTACTTATCTACATTTCATTTACAGAATGTTCCAAAACGATTTGATGTTAGAGGCAAATTCTAAATAAGCATAAATCACCATTAAAATATAACAAACGTTTAAAATAATTTTTAAGTTTTTAAAACATTTGGGGGGGGGGGCTGTATCCCATTAGACCCACCCCCGATATACGCCACTGTTACCTATAGTCTATTCAGAATAAGAAAACGTAGTCGGCGGCCGACTACTGCGCATGGGGGTGGCCTCACTACGCATTCTTGCCTACGACACCATTGCCACCGAGGGTATTCACCCTCTCCTATGGCTCGTATTTTTGTTGAATAAAATACATTGACTTACTTAAAAAATATAATTTATAAATAATTAAGAATATAAATTATTAGTCTATCATTATAATATGCCATCATTATAACAGAAACATTAACTTTAGGTAATGAACTGTAAATTATTTTTAAGTTTGTATTGAAGAAAAATTAGTTTCCCCCCCCCCCCCCCACGTGGTCAAAACTTAAATACGTCCTTGGCCGCATTATTCTACTGAAGTAGACCAGTGACGCGAACAAATAATTTAAAGTAGGTACATTGTTTATGTAATAAAATAATTAACATTGGTAATGTGTTTACGTCATGCGCATAGGCGGAGATCGGGGGAGGGGACTTTCGGGGGCTTAGCCCCTCCCTTAAAAATATAAAATAAACAATACCGTACTTTTGTACAGTTTGCAGAATTTTTATCATTATTGTATATTCTTATATATACAAATATATAAGTGTATCTAGTACATTACTTACATACTATTATTACTATTTACCAATTTATTATTTATGGTAACATACCAAACAATTAAGCCACAATTCACAACATAAAATAATATTATATTGTGTCTATATACCTAATATTGTGCATATTTAGTTATCAATTAGCCATTAATATTTAATAACATACTATACTGTTCTATTTATAGATGGGAAAGATATTATTTCTTTTCTAATTTTTGTTATTTCTCGAGATGCGATAATAACCAGACTGAGATAGTGGGCTATTATAGGACTATCGTCATAGCTGTATTAAGCCTATTGTAAGGTTTATCGTAATTGAATGAATTTTATTCGTACCGTAACCGTATTGATTATTTTATACTAAATTATATTTTACTTATTTGATGTTATTGAGAATACGTTTCTTTTGAGATTGTGATTTAGATTTTTAGTAAAGAATTAAATTCAAATATGTTTGAAATACTTAAATTTAAATCAAAAACAGCTGAAGAAATACCGACAGACAGTGGCGTAAATTGGATCTAATTTCTGGTGGTGCAGAGACATTCTCAACTTATAATTTCCAACACACCAATTTTCTCATATATTTCTTTAAATAACAAATAAATTTTGAATTATTTTAGCAGTAAAACCTTTATTATTATAATATTAACAAAAAAACAAACAAATTTTGTTTTTAGTATGCTGATTTCCTTGGCTCTTGAAAATAATATTATAGGTATACAAATTTCTATAATTTTCTGGTGATGCAAAAACATATCTTTGTACCACCAAATTTCAGATGTGGTGTTGCAAGTGCCACATTTGCACCACTCAGTTTACACCATTACTGACAGATACCAGGGGCCAGTTGCGCCGATCACATAAATTATCTATGCCATATGTCATAGTAGATTTTATAGCTGGGGGCCCACCAAAAGTTACTGTGGCCCGGTTGTGGGCCAGAATTTTACTTATAAAGAATTTAAATGATTAGTAGATGGCAATACTAGTACCTAACTGCTAATAAACACTATAGCTTATTTATATAATAGGTAGTTAGCAGATTATGATTCTACTGATTTTATAGAATATAGTCTATAGTATAGACTATAGTTTATAGACTCTAATACCAAGTATAGTATACTAAAATTATTATACTAACGTAGTAACTCAACAGTTGAGCTGTCAGATGTTGAACATGGTAGTATGACAAAATAAACTATATATGTTATATTGTTATAACTATGAATAGTTATTTTGTTATGGAATTAATAATTTCACGTATTTAAGGTAAAGGATAATGATAAATGATCGTTATGTCTTTATTTATTTAATTAATTAGGTAGGTTTATTGATTTTATATTTTTATGGTTTTATTTTTTACGAAATATTTGAGTGAATAATATTTGACAACTGTATACGTAACTGTACTTTACTCTGTAGTCTGTAAGTAAATTCAAAATTTATTACATTATTTTTAAATAGTTTTAACTGATAGAAAAATTAATTTCATTATTTTAAATAATACTATAATAGTATGTATTTACTGCATGTAGAATAGTAGACTTATTGTTATAATCAGGGCTCGGAAGTTCCAACAAATGCATATTTTTCTTGGTTCATCCTAGAACATTTAAAGTAAGATACAAATATGTTTCTCACATTTGATAATCTTAATGAAGAAGTCCAAGCATTTATTAACAAATCAGATTATGAGCTTGAAGTTTAAGAACGAAAAGAATAAAGAAAGTACCTAGAAAACATGATGAAAGATATACCGATGAACGAATTCAAGATCACATTCAGTTGTTTAAAATTAATACAGTACTCCCACCACTAGATCATGTTAACAATGAAATGAATAAACGTTTTAATCCAGATCATATTGGTATTTTAAAAGATATTTCTCTGTTTTTATTAAAAATAATAGAAGAAATTATGAAAATGCCAATTTTGTTTTCAATTGATTAATTTGTTAAACTTTGTAATAATTATAAAATAGTAGACATAAATTGTTTGCGTACTGAATACTTGCAGTTTACTTCACGTTTTTCAGAGATAAAAAAAACATCATTAAATTAACATCATTTAATTCATCAGATGATGAAGAATTATTGTTCTGTGATTCATCTTCAAGCATGGAAGATAATGACAACAAAACTTTAAAAGAAAATAAAAATTCAAAAAGTTTAATTTATATTTTTAATTTATTACATTCTACTGGTAAGAATTAAATTAAATTTCTGTAACATTACAAGTTTCTATTTATAGTACTGAAAGATCATTTTCAAAAATGAAACTAGTCAAAACATGATTAAGATCGTTAACATCCGAAGACCGTCTAGTTAAAATTTGTGAGGGTGACATTATGATTGATAAAGATTTAGTAGTAGATATTTTTGCACAAAAAAATGATGTTTTTTATTAAATCATTAATTTTATAAGATTTTAATTTTTAATTAAAAAAAAATTGAAAATCTATATAGTATTATGGTAATTAATATGTTACTTTATTTGTATTATGAATATTTAAATGATAATAGGTAATTAGTTCTCGACTTCATTTGGTTTATCAAAATCGTGTTGTCACAGCTTAGTAGCTAGATAATAGCTTACCTAAGTTCAAACAGGTCATAGCAAAAAATATATTTAAATATTTGTTCAGCTAAAAAATGAAAAAAAAAAAATGGTTATACACTAAATGTGTGAGTGGTTTGTTTCGCGGTTATACGTTTTAACAATAATAATATTATCTAACTACGTCTGTCGACTGATTACCAGAAAAAACATTCTTAAAATAGCTCAAAAATGAAATGTAAGGTTATATTGATTCTAATAAATTTAAGTTTTCATATTATGTTAACATAATTTACGTAAAGATGTTTAGTGTTGACATTAAATTTAGTTATCGACTATTTATTTAATTATTTTAATTTTGTCATGAATTTCCAAAAAAAAAAAAAAAGAGAAAAGGTGGAGCGATGCTCGTTTACGTGTCGAAAACAAAAAACCAAATGTTACAGTATAGAACAAATGTTTACAAAAAAAAAACGCAGTCAACAATTACAGTAAATAAATTTTAAAATTTCAATGCAAAAATACGTTTTTACTAACTGGTAATTACAAAAAAATAACAATTATTAAGGCAAATAAATTATTAATGAATAATTTGAATTCATTAAAATATAACCTTTAAAAGTTAAACCCCATACAAGCGACTTACACACAAACGATATCTGTATTTACTATTTTTTTTTTTTTAAAGTGGCCTGACGAAAAAAATTGGCGTGCTTAAATTTTGGCACACCTATTATAAAATTCAAATGGCGCTACTGACAGTACTGATCAACTTAAGTAGTTGTCAACCACTCGGATTTAGACTTGGGTTATTTAGAGTCTGGTCCTAAAAGACTAAAACTAAAGGTAAGTTATGAATTTATTATTTACCTAAGTATCTATAATAGATAATATTTTTTATTATTATTAATTATATTAAATAATATTTAGGAATTTCCTTTAACACAATTTGATACTAAAAAACGTGACTTCAATTCTTCAATTCTAAATATTATGAGAATAACAATTGGGTCGAATACTGTATTAATAAGGATGTCATATTTTGTTACGCATGTTGAATGTTTAGAAACAATCAAACTAAACCTACATTCACAACTACTGGGTTCAAAAAATTGGAAAAAAGTATGTTTTATTAATTATTATATAAGTAAAAATACTCCAAAAAAGCGCAAATAGATTTTATAAAATATGGGCGGAGATTGAAGAGCTAAAAATCAAATTATATTAGAACTATGACTTAAATTGCATTCAAATAATAATTTGCCAACTAAACAATCATCTAAAAAAATTGTATATAAATTATGCCCTACTCTGCATATAGGTTAGACAGCCATATAAGGTTTTTAGTTCATAAATTCCAATTATTCTCGATAAAAACTTATAATATTACACTTTTAAAATAAAATTAATATTTTAAAATAACATTAAACAAATTTAATTTTAAATACCCTTATACAATTTAAAAAAATTTAAATTAAATTTTTTTTTATTATTATAACTAATTATTATTTTGTTTAAACATCAAATAAAATCTTGTCGTGCATATGAACTTCCTTTAATCTTCAGATTTTGTATTTTAATGATTTAACTCTAAATATTTCTTTGAAAAAAGGATAAATTAAATTTCATTATATTTCCAATCAATGAATTAGTGCTTTTCAGTTAAAAATTTTGGATGGATGAGTTAAACTTGGTTATTCAGTATCCCTATACGGGGGTACTGAATAATCCTTATATAGGGTCCATGTGTCATCTCCACTATTTTTATACTAAATATACAATTATATTATTTTTAAAATAAGTTCTTATAAAATTTTTTTTTGATTTTAAAGTTAAATGTTAGAATCAAAACTATAAAATATAAATAATGAATTGTATTTCATATCAATATTTTACAAAAATAAATCAATAATAAAGTATTCTATTTTATTTTAAATAATATTTATGATGAACTCAAATAAATATTAAATCATTTCATTCTCACTATTAACTTTTAATTATTCAGAGTCTTGATATGGATACCATTTTCCATTCTTATGTTTCCTTTTGAAAATAAATATTTTATTTTGTTTTCACCATTGCACATTTTTAGTTGGATTACATACCCCTTTACATTTTATTTTTACAATTTTATTGTTTCTATTTTTTAACAGTGATTTGTCAGTATTTTACATTATTAATATTATATGTTTTTATGTCCATAGACAATGATGTTAAGAGAATAACAGCCGTGGCTAAAAGTACATTTAATAATTAATACACCCTCCTAACCAAAAAACATTATGAATATACCGCAATGAAGAAATTTATCAAATCTTATATGTGTAGTGTATTATTTTATGGCTGTGAAATTTGAAAAGTAAAACAATATGAAAAGAAACGGCTAGGAGCTACCGAGATGTGGTTTTGGAGAAAAAACAAGATATCTTGGTTCAAAAGGAAGATCAATGAAGGCTGCAAGCAATAGGAGAGGGAAGGAACATCATATACTACATCTTGATAAAGAAAACGAAAATTCATTAGATACCTCATAAGTATTTCTTGTGATATTTGTTTAGGCTTCTGTAGGTTATGTGGAATAGAATCTATGTTTTGGCTTTGAAGTAGGGAATTTCTTTTACTGTTTAATGTAGGACTGTTTTTTATTCATCGCCTTATGTTATTGATGAATTTTAATAAATATTTGTATTATAATATTTAATATTATAATATTATAATATTTGTCTTCTTAATGGTGTGATTTTTACTGTTTGTTATAGGTCGGTTTTTGGTTCTTTTTTTTGTGAATTGTGTTAGGGATATTTTTGATGATTTGTCCTTTTTGTGTTGGACATATTTGTTATCTTTTATATGCGTTTATAATAAAGAATTTCTTTTGTTTGATTGTCTGTAGGTAGTAATGATTGGCTGTTTAACTCTTTTGGCTTTAAATTAGGGAACTGTTTTAACTATTTGATGGAGGTATGTTTTCATTCTTCGGCTTTTTTTGTGATTTGTGTTAGGTAATTGTTTTGATGGATTGTCCTTTTAATGTTATTGGATAAATCTGTTGTTTATTTTTATGAGTGATATTTCTTAGTTTCATCTTTTGGGTGTTTCTTATGCTGTGTTAAATAGTATTGATTTTTTTACTTCTAAATAGGGTTATAATTTTTACTGTTTGTTATAAGTCTGTTTTTGTTCTTCGTCTATTTTTTTGATTTGTGTTAGTTTTTTATATGATGGATTGTCCTTTTTGTGGTGTTAGATATATTGCCTATTTTATTGTGGAATTGTTATAGACTTTTTTTTTATTTGGTTGTTTTAAGGTAGTGATGATCAGCTGTTCAACTGTTTTTGCTTTGAACTAGGGACCTGTTTTTACAATTATGTTGGTCGGTCTTGTTCTTTTGTCTTTTTTTTCGTGGTATTTTGTAGGTATATGTTATCCTCCAGGGGAACACGTTCTTACGTGTTTACGGGTCTTAGCGAACCCGGGGTCCCGAGCTCTTGTTTGGTTGTCTGTAGTTTAGGGTTGATCAGCTGTTTGGCTTCGAGTTATGGAACTGTTTTAATTACTTGATGAAGGTCTGTTATTTGTTTTTTGTCTTTTTTATTTGATGATTTTTGATAGGTATTTGTTTTATGGAGTGCCTTTCTTATCATGTGATTTATGCTGTTTGATATTGGTTAGTTTTTTGTTTTTCGGTTATAGTTTGTGAATTTTGTTAGGAACTTGTTTGGTGGATTGTTCTTTTTATGGTGTTACATATATTTGTTGTCAATTTTATGAGAGATAATTTTTGGTTTCTTTTTTTTCAATATTTCTTATATTGTATTGAACAGGATTTAATTTTTGTTACTAAATAGAGATACCTATGATTTTTACTGATAGTTATGGGTATGTTTTGTTCTTCAGTTTTTTTTTTTTTTATTTTTTTTTTAGATATTTATTTGATGGATTCTTCTACATTTGGTATTAAATATATTTGTCTATTTTTATGAAAGTTATTTTTGGTTTTTTCCCAATTGTTTTTTAAGTTGTGTTCAATTGAACTGATTTCTAATTTTATTTACAGAACTTGGATTTTTTTTTTTTTTGTTTAAATTTAAACCTAGGATTCTTCAGGAGCCAAGTAACCATCAATTTAAATTTACCAATCTAATTTTGTTTCAAAATATTCAAATTTTAATTCATTTATTTTTATGTTTTTCTTTCAGAACTTGGATTTTTTTTTTGGATCGACCCAAATCGATTTTCCTCCGGGAGCCGGGGATCCCCTTTTCTTTTTTTGAACTTGACACTTTGAATATTTAATGGTATAAATATTAAATTGATTTAATTAAGATAAAATATTTTAGATCTTTAAAATCGTATGACTACAATTAACTAATAATATTAAAATCCTAATAGATATGTTTCGTTTCAGAACTTGGATTTCTTATCGTTTCAACCTAAAAACCTATAGGAGTTGTCCTTCAAGAGAAGTATTAGATAATTTAATGACTATATTATTCTTATTTACTTTTAAAAATTTTTAGAGCATTCAGTCCTGGCAATTTCTTTAGTATCATCTTTAATATCTTTATTATCAATCGACAATGGGAAATCTTTAACTACTGCTGGATCACTCTCTTAACTCGATACTCCACTATATTCCATTGTCTATATCACTACATAAATTACACTCTTCACAGGAGTATTTCTGAAAAAGATTATTGAACATTAGTTGCTGTATATGATGAAAGGAGGATATAAAATAATTTAATGGTATTTTTTATCTTGTAAGTTGTTACAAATATATATATTTATTTTCTTATTTCGTATGGAAGATAAAGTTTAATATTTACATAAATTACTTCAAGTTGCCACTATGCTGAAGATTTTATATTTTAGTCGTTGAATAAAATAAGAAATAATCATTAAAAATTTAATAAAATCTCGTGTAGAAGGAATTGGACACAAGTTCTGCCATTTTATATGTGACGTATCGGCCTTGTTCCTCTTCTACTGGCCCAAAAGTGCACTTAGTCACTGACCTATTGAAGGGCCGCTATGAAACATTGTTGGACAACATGATTGATTGTCGAGGAAACGAATTAAACGGTGTTTGAAACATCACAGCAACATAATCATACTGTCAGTGTCCACGAAAAATCAACTATTTACGGAAGTGACCACGTGATTATTACGGACGTTTGCGATACTACCGATACCAATAAAGTATCGATACCATGGTTTCGTTATTTTACTCATATCGTTAAAAAATTATTGTTTTCGAATGAATAGTAACGAATCATTTGCTAACCGCCATATTGGTTCAAAAATCAAAAGTACCTATTCGAACGGTCTAATGGTATCGTACAGTAATTATTTTCTAGTAAAATGGTTTGCGGGCGTGGTGGAGGATTTGTTTACATAAATCAGTCATCACACTATAATTTACATACGATTATATTGTTATTTCCACAGACCAGAAACCACAGTCTACAATATAATAGCATCAATAGGTTTTCTCCGAATCGGAATGATTATTCATATTGGTCGTTTTTATATTTTACTCTTATCATTATTTATTTCGATTAGATACGACGAAGTAAAAGGATCAATACTTTTCTTTCGAAATACCTATGTAAAAATTTAGTATTTTGAATATTGCTGTTTTGTTATTGTAATTGTACCGTGCGAGAAGCTCTTCAGTAAAGCAGGTATAATTACAGAAAAAAAGATTCTGAATGCTGATTTACTTTTGAATCAAAACTTATAAAAAATAATGATTTTGATTAAAATATTAGTTTTTAAAAATTATAATTATTGTATAACTACCTTACCCGACAGACGTTGTCCTGTCTTAATTATGAATATTGAATTCGCAGTTCCGGCCCGTAAGTTTTCGGGGCCTGGTGTAGAATTTTAAGATGCCCCATATATATATTCATTTTTTAATTTATTAACCCTTCATTAGTCACCTTTATGATTTGAACAATCTTAGTCACTCGAAGTAATATAATACCTTAAATGGTAAATTAATTATTTCATAACATTTTTTTTTGCTAATTATGTTTTGAATATATTTATATTTGATATTTTTATAGTTGAATGTTATTTTTTTTAAATATTTCACAGTTAATATATATTTTATTGTATGTTACATAAAATATTAACCATTGCTAATCACTTTTTTAGTTCGTTATTTTTTTTTTTTTGTAATGTAATATTAATAAAGTAATCTAGTCATTAAATTTGTATATTGGATCACTCATTCAACATATTTTGATTATTATTTATTAATTTATGTTAAATAGGAACCCTAATATTATAATTAAAAAAAGGACAAAAATAATAATAAATAACGTAATTATTTTTTGTGTATATAAAATTAAAATAAATAAATTTACTCTCAAATGTTTGAGAATTTTTTTTTAAAAACATACACAATTTAAATGGGATACTCTTGCTTTGATATACTATACACACACCATCGTTCAGTAATTTAATTTTTTTTTCTTAGCACGTCACACGACCGTGGCTCTAGATTAGTGATGGGAATAATCGAGAGAAAATACTCGAAAAACTCGATTGTTTAATTTAATTTAATGTCCTCGATTGTTTTTGAACTAGCTTGAAAAAAATCAAAGACTATTTATATTAGGAATTAAATTATTATAAAAAAAATCTCTTTGGATTTTTAATTTTAGTTGTAATCAAAATTAATCGAATTAATACAAATCGAAAAAGAATAACAATTTTACTAATAATTTGTATTTATATTAATATTTACATATTGATAAATATTTATATATTTAATTTTAGTTGATTTTTTTTTTTGATAACCTTTTCAATCTATCATAATTTAATGTAAGTCTCAAAAACTGAGTTATTTATTATTTGACCGTGTTCCCTCTACTACATCACTGGACAAGGGTACACTGATACTAGGGATCATAATGATTTGGATATTGGGCATTAGGCAGTTTCAAAATTGCAGTATATAACTTAATATTCAGCATTTATTGCAGTTACACAGATTTTATTCTTATGCAATACCACATAAAACAGACATTAGTACCATTGATCATAATTATATTAGTACTCGGTGTCTCTGAGATTTTTTTTTTTTAAAAAAGGAAGGAAATTATAATACTATCATGAAAGAATTGATGTGAACAGGTGCACTAATATATTGTACAGCTGTCGGTGCCAGATTTAACCTAAACGGAATCGAATCGTCGACGTGCATAAAAACATAAAAAAAAAAAACAAACTGGGATCGGTTTGACGATTTGATTGAAAAATTATCGGGATGAATAACCGACATCCTCGACCGTAGTTAAATGGCCGTCAACGTGTACAGTGGCGTAGTTATCATATGGCAAAGCAGGGCAATGCTTCGGAGCACAGAGGATCTTGGAATCCTTGAACAATTCTAAAACTGTACTTCCTTACAATAATTGAAAATGTTGATAAATTGAATATATAAAAAAAAAAAAAAAACTTGTGGTAATCTTTTAATTATTAACGACTATTTGGGCAAAGAATATACATAATGTTATAAAAATAAACCACGACGTAAATAATAATGATCAATATAGAACATTAAGAACCGATGGGTAATTTGTAAATTATTTTGACAACAACAATAATGTACAGTGGCGTGCCGGTGAGGGGTTTATGGGAGCTTGACCCCCTCCCTTCTCCCTAAATTTTAACAAGAATTCAACCCTTAACTTGGCACTGTATCCTAAAAGTTTCACGTAAGTCAGTTAATTTTTATTTTAAAAACAATATTTATTTTTCTAAATATTCCAAAGAGTTTATATTTCTAATAGCGTTTGATAATAGCTAAAATTGATTACGCTGTTATCATTCGTCTTACATGGGAATTAGTATTCTCATGTCATTATGATTTACTGTAACTTTAAGCTGTGTACACACTAGAACACTCGTAGACCGAGTATGTGTGCTTACGTTGTGTTTTGTTTGTGCTCAGTATGGACGTTACCACGCCCAACGAATTGTATATATTGTATGCGATAAATCTGCTCTCTGGATATTCAGTTGTGTGGTGAACGTATACAGTATATGTTGTATTTCGTATATTGTATTTAAAATTTAAACTTTAATAATAATTATTATTTTTTTACTGTCACTCGAGTGATTTTTTCACGCCGAAAAGAATCCAACAAATTTAGGAATTTTTTTTTAATATCTTCGACTTCCCTGTTTAAATTTTTTGAGATTAGGTTAGATTAGATTAGATTAGATTGTCCACGCTTCTTTTTTTTCTTTTGTTTTAGAAAAATAATAATTATTTTTTGGGTTCCATAGCACTGGGTGTTGTTGGTAATGTTGAATGAAATATAGTCACAATTCATTACTCCATTCCATTTCGAAAAATTTAAATGAAAATGAATAATAATGATTATTAAATAATTATATAGTAATCTTGTATAATGGTGCGCGTAGTTGCAATAGTACTGAGCAGTAAATATGATGATTAGCACCACACACAACGAACGCGAGCCGGTCGTCCCGGCTGCATATTACCAAACCCTAGAGTGCCCCAGTGCCTTATTCTAATACGCTGTTCTCATTGGTTGATTTAAATTGCGCGGGTAAATCATACTATTGTTATTATCATAGTGTAGATATCACGAACTAATCATGATAATGCGATGATAACGAACTAATTAGATATTAATATTAGTTCGTTATATCTACACTTAGCCATGATAATAACAATAGTATGATTTACCCGCGCAATTTAAACCAACTAATGAGAACAGCGTATTAGAATAAGGCGCTGGGACACTCTAAGGTTTGGTAATACGCGTCCCGGCTCGCATTCGCTGTGCGTCAAAAACGCTCGTGCGTGCTCGATATACCGTCCTCACTAAGCAATTTTGTAGAACGCACAACATGAGCACATATGCTCAGTTTGTGCGTGCTCTAGTGTGTACGCGGCTTTAGAGACTTATAAGTCATAAAATATTTGCTACCAGGAGTGTATTTATGTCCTCCGAAATGAAAAACACCATTGTTAAAGATTGATATTTTTAACATGGATATGTCTTAATGCTGGGGGTTTCCGAAAATTTGTCGCGACACTGAGAATGTTGCTTATGCGATAATTTAAAATTTTATATTTATAAAATATGTTTATTCTTTTAAGAAAATATGTGGTGAATTTTGAATGACTCTAATAAAAAATTTGTTTATTACAATGTAGTTTTTATACTTTTAAAAAAATAATAAATCATTAAAAAAATTGAGTTTCTTATTTCTCTGATGGTGTAAAAACAGTCGAGAAGTCTTACAGTGTTAAAATAATTTTTTTCGTAATAGTGTGCTTCCTCCTTCCCTTCCATCCAAAAATCAAATACATAATCGGTCCCCTCCGAAATGAAAACCTATATACGCCACTGTTTGCTACAACAAGTTGAAACTTGTAGAATTTATTTAGGTTAGCCTCATTGTCGTTTTAATATAATTGGATGTTAGGTTTTAATGCTCGAATATTGTTTTTTTTATGGTTGATGTTTGACGGTGTATTTTATAAGGAATTTTCACTAGGCGACAAAAAATGTTTTTCCCAAAATAGTCAATGTAACACCATAGTACGATTATAGTATTACACGTTTGTTTCGCATTATTTCACCCAATCTTTTAAAATATTGTCGACAGAGTGAAATCAGGTGCGACATTTGTGTCGCCTAGTTAATTAATTAAAAAATACACTGATATTTGATGTATCCAATAAGATACATTGCTCAACTACCTCATGTATAATGTTGTATCTAAAAATATACGGAATTATAGATTCTGAAATAACATATTAAAATATTAAATTATAGTATAATTATTATTTTTATTTTTTATTTCTATTTTACTATTATTATTATTTTTTAAATTATGTATCTACATTTTTTTTTTTATTATTACATGTATTTTACTTTTATACTTATAATTATACAAGCCATGCGAATAAATAAATAATAAAATTAATATTTAATTTTTATTAGTTAGCTATGTATAGAAATAAAAAAAATTATTTCGTCTCGAAAATTGCGGCTTTTGAAATTAGTTCTTCCTCTATCAGATTCAGAAGATTCTGAAACTGAAGATTAGGCTGAATTATCTTTAAATAAGAAATCAAATAGCCCCACCATGACTGTTTCAGACGATTTTGATAGTAATACACACTAGTCAAGTCATCCAAGTGGTGATTCAGAACTTGAGAATTATCTAAACGATATCGATGATTTTACCATATTGAATGAATTAGGTACAGACATCCATAATTATATAAATTTATCAACTATAAGTTACAATGATACTTTGGCTGAAGGTTAAATTTCTACTTCTAACTCTATTTTAGATTTGACTTATGTTGAACGAAGTATTAAAATTGATTGTCCAATTAATTTAAGAATACTTTTTTTGACTTTATATTACATTGCATTACTTAGTACCTATCTTTTTAGTAATAACACTTAAAATAGACATCAAGTGATGTATACTAATAGATACTAAATTCAAAATGAGGAATTCATAGTGATGTAATCCATTAAGATATAAAAATAAAATATAGTCTATGGGATAGAGTATCTTAAAAGACACGAAATTGAAAACAGCTTCTTTGACAGCGACGGATTGACCCATCGGGATACCGGGAAGTTCCCGGTGGACCGGTATACGTATTATACCACTGGGTCGATGTACTTAGATTAAAAATTATTTTATAAAAATAATTTATTTAAGTATACTGTATTTAATTGTAAGATTGTGATAAAAAACTAGTGTAAACGTGATGTAAACAGTCCTACGAGCATTTAATCCATGAATAAAGGAGACTTTTATGGAAAATGATTATTATTGGATGGGGTGGACTGGTCGTACGGTAATTTCCCAGGCCGAAATTTTTAGCCAATCCGCCGCTGTTCTTTGAGGTGATGTATCTTTAAAGACACACATTTCCAGTCAAAATATCTCAAAACCTAATGTAAATTTTTTAAAAATAAGGTTAAAAATGAACTATACGGGTTTTAATTATTGAATATAGTGATAGTTTGGAATTTTAGTGCAATATTTTTTTTTCTGCCAAATTAAGGGTTAAAAAGTTAAAAATATTTAGAAGATAGAAAATGATACGCGGTCGCCGCAAATAATATCACAGAATAAGATGATTGTAGTGTTATCACGAGGAAAAAAAAAAAAAAATAAATGGCGTGCGCAAGCGCGTACGCTCGTGCGTTCGAGACGATCGAGTGAGTGTGCGTCGCAGTCGCTGCGATGTTTTTGTGCCGTCTTGCCCGTTTTCACCGTCTCGCGATAAAACAATACATTTTATAACCACTATTATTGTTATTATCATCATCACCCAGAATTATGAGAATTGTTTTCCCCGCATCGGCCGTCCGATCACCGTCGTAATATTTTCGTTTGTATTAGAAAAAAAACAACGCGAAATCCGCATACCTCTATTACCATTGGTTACGTTTTAATCAATGCTACTGCGTATTAGCGCCAGTCGATGTTGTTTCGCGTGCGCGTGCGTGCGCGTCTGGTGCGTGTGATAATAGAACGTTGGAACTCGGTCCGTGTCGTTTACGATTATTAATATTTCTATCTTTTTTTTTTTTTTTTTTTTTGTTGCTCTTCGGCCCGGTTCGTAGTGTTACAGTGTAGAAATCTATTGTTCGAAGCCCGAACGTTATCATCGTATAACCGTGGTCGATGTCGCAGCGTTTACAGTGCGTTAATTGGAAATAAACGACTGTTTTGAACAGACATTGCACGTTGTGTACACCCGTCCATCGTTGTGAAACCGTGAAGTAATTAAACAACGAACGTGACTCTTAATAAATATTGTTCCTCGGCCATTACTGGTGTATTATCACCGTCGATCTCGCGCTATTCGGTATTTCGACGGCCGTTTAATTATCTTTAACCTTATCAGAGAAACGAATACTCTCCGTTCACTGGAATTCGAAGGTAATGTGACTCCCCAGTGGCTTTATATATTATTCTTATTAATTGATAAATTACTTGTATCTATTACCACCGTTTACTATAACTATACTAATAATAATAATAATAAAAAAAAAAAATGATATCGGTGGCCACTCCTGTAACCACGGCTCCTACGCGCGCCAGGCTCTATGCTTGTTTTTCAGTCTACACTCGTATTCCTGACGTTGATCAGACAACAACGACGATAGTATTGACCATAAGGAGCAAGATATGAGTATGTCGTTAAAGGTTATCCCCAGGCCCGTCGTGCATTTTGTCTACGGGCATTGTGAAAACTCGTCGTGTAGGGGTGGCGTGGGAGAGGGAGATTTTTTTTCGCGCTCGCATGATTAGTGTCTAATCATAAGTCCGTCATATTTTACCTGTTTCTTAATGATCTCATTTATTTTTTAGCATACGGGCCCGTGTTTTACACCCATCGGAGTGGTGCAATGAGTGGCCAGCATTTGGCCGACAGTGCAGTCACTGCCAATAGTAGTGGAGACAATGGTCCTGTTAACTCCAAGTGTTCAGCATCTTTAACTAAGCAACACAGTTATGAACAGATTGATCATGCTCATTTTTTGGCCAATGATATTGGATCACTCTACCTCAACGACAGGTTTAATATTATTGTTATTATTTATGGTACCTTTATCCATTTGTAGCATGTATCCAGTTAACTAGTCAAACATATTTTTGCTTTCTATCATTTAATGGTACTATTATTTTAAAGATTATTGGAATTTGAAGAATGTAAACTAATGTCCCTATTTTCACACAATAATTAATAATTTTTATTTATCAACCAAAATAATTTTTTTTATAATTAGTTTTATCATATAAGTTATAAGTTTATTTTTAATTCAATGGTTAAACGGCATCCTTGTTAGAGATGTTATTGACATTACTTTTTTTTAAAGAATTATTTCAGTTTTCTGAAATTTAGAATTCTTTGTTAATGTTTGAACAAATATTTTTCAGGTAATTATCAGAATATAAATTGAGATTGAATATTATAATTTGTGAAGTATTTCATGATATGTATATTTTATCTTTATTATAATAGTATCCATATAAATATATATTTTGTTTTAAATTTTTCATGAAAATATATATTGATTTTGTTTACTTAAAAATTTTTAAGTTTTTAATTTTTTATGGTAATATATAGAATATTGATTTAATTTTAATGTTTTATTAATATTTTATTTGTTTAAAAAAAATAATTTTAATTGATATTGTTCTTTTATAGGTTTTCTGATGTTGTATTGGTAGTTAATGGTGAACGTTTTCATGCACATACAGTGGTTTTAGCTTCACGAAGTGATTATTTTAGGTAATTATAATTTTATCTAAAAGTATTATTGTGATGTTTTATAGTTAAATCAAAATCGTCATCAAATTATGTATGAAAGAAAATGTAATCTTTGTGTGTATAAATTATTTTTTAAACAATTTACCTTAGTTGTTACCTATTAATTTATTATTTCGTAAATAATTATATATATGTAAAAACAAAATATTGTTTATTCATATAAAGATTACAGAATTAATACAAATTTTTTATTTAAATTTTAAAAGTTAAGTTTCAATGATGTTGTTACGGACATACATAGATGTAGGTCCTTACGAGTTATATTTTAGAGAAGACATGTAGTACATAATAAATATTAGAATAACTATTATAGAAAGGTGTTAGTTTGATATATGTAAAATGCGTAATTCACGAAGTCAACTGGTTATTTAGGTAATTCAGGGTTGGACACACAAAATACAAGTAGTATCAATCTAAAATGCCAAGGTGAATCATATATGATCAGTGGGTTAGCATTCATTAGATCCGGGTTAACTATGAGAAACGGGGTATATAAGAGAGTCCCAAACAGACCAGTTTTTAGATGTATTTTAGTCCAAGCTTAGCAAGCACCTTCACGCTAGATAGATTAATGATTTATTGTACTTAGAAATAATTTCAGTTAATAAATGTTTTTGGAAAAAAAAAAAAAAAATAAAAAATTATTTGTCAATTAATAGTAAATATTTAAAGTCTAGTAATTATTTAATAAACCTATCCTCTCACATTCACTCTTCAACGGTTGAACTGACGGCACACAACAATGTATTTAATATATATATATAAAATTAAATAAAAATTAACTTTTAGAAACCCTAATGACAATTTAAATCTTCATTAAATTTTAATATCTATTATAAAACAAATTGTAAATTTAGGTGTAAATGTTATAATTTATCCCTCAAACAATAACCCTTTCACGACGAACACACACATTTGTGTAGGTTAGCGTGTGTCTAATTAAAAACGAATATAAGATTATACAATTTTAAAAAACCAACCACACATTTGTGTAGGTTCGTTAATACCAATTACTAAAATCAATTAATCAGGCAGGACTAAAGATAGTATAGATTTATATACACAATTGTGTGTGCTAGTTGTAAAACATATTAAAACATATTAAAACAAAAATTAAGGCTCGTCGTGAAAGGGATAAGTGATTTAATTGCTTCAACATTTTTAAGGTTACAATTTTCCTAACCATATGCATTAATTATTTAAAAATAAAAATACATAGAAATATCATGGGTTACATATAATACATTTGTAATCTCAACTACTTTAAAAGTCATAAATATAACTTAGTAACTCCCGATTTTAATTGCTGTATAATGTATCAATAACATAAAACCTTATTAATCCTTATTTCATCCTTTCCATTCCTCAATCTGTACAATTCCTATAACCTGAAGTAGTTGGTACATGTTTAGAGTACCTAATTTATTATGCAAAGTAAAACATTTTCCTTGAAAAAAACATAAGCTATTTTTCTAAAAAATTTTACCTACATTTATAATATAATAAAATGTAATTTAAATTGCATAATGGTTCTTTCATTACTATGCTTTTATTTTTAGTTATAAATTAATATAATAATTACATTTTAAGATGAAAATGACAGATTTAATTAATTATTAGAGTGATCATTTATATTGCAGGACTTACCAAAGTGAAATTTGTATCAAAAATGTATATTAAATTATAGTTCAATTATTAACGGTACAGGCATGTATAAAGTAAATATAGTTTATTAAACAGATAATTTATATTTACTTTAATTGACAAAGTATTATTTTATTACAGAAATTAAGTAAATAATTGATAACTGTCAAACATTTGTTGAATTTATAATCTTTGAACTTTGATGAGACTTAATTTAAACCAATGTTTTTGAACAATTTATTTTTATCTATCATAATTAATAATAATAAATTGTTTATAAACATTGGTTTAAATTAAGTCTCATCAAAAAAACTGATAATCATAATCTATCATAAATAATTATACTTATCAGTTTTTTTGTTATATTTTTGGTTTATTAGTCTACTATTATTATGTATACAAAATCTATATATGTGTACTTAATATTTACATACAAAAGAAAATATTAAATATAACAATGCTACAAAAAATCAACTTTATTAATTTCTTCGGTAATTTCTAGTTTTTTTTACTATTTAATACTAAAATTAATTCTTGAATTTTATAATATTATGATCAAGTATATTTATGTACTTTGTTTATATATTCAAAGAAATAGTGGTTATTAAGAAATATCCTCGTTGGTTATAAAATAAATAATACTATTAATATCAGTACTATATTTTATAATCAATGTTATTATGTTGTATTTGATATGAAATTTGACTTATCTTCCTGTTGTACTTATTGTTATTACTACTATATGTTAATCTTTATTTATGTGTTATTGGTTGTAATTATTAAATCAGTGCTTCCCAATTACTGTTTCTTAATGTTATCAAATGTATTGCATTAATGTAATTAATATTGTGATATTATAATACAATGTTGGGGAATATTTTAAGATTATAAGCTTCAATTCATTTTTTTTTGTCAATTTTAAAACCATTATTTGTAGGTAAGTATATTAAATAAAATTTCAAATAATTTTTCATATAAGTATATATTTATTTTTCCCATCTTATAATTTATTTAAAAAAAGATATATTTGATTTATACTTTTTAAAATTTACATCTATGTAAAATCTTTATACGTATTAATTCGTTGTGAGTAACAACAACAAACAAAGTTTTATCATAATACATAAAATTATTCTTTGAATTGTTGACGTTTTACCAAGAATAAATATATTATTCGATCTTCTTCATTATATTTTTGATTTTATCATGTCAAATTCCACTAACAATAAATAATTGTTGATCAATTTTATAATTATGATTTCATTATTTATCATCATATACAAATATTTTTGTTTTTATTTCATTATCAAATAAACTTCATATTTGTTTCGATTAATAAAAATATTTCTGTGATTACTGAATTTTGAAAAAAATTATTTCTGTTGACTTATGAATTTAGATAAATTTTAATATTTTTATTTTTTTATAACAATCGGTAAAAATTGTATTATATATATTCATATTATTATTACTATGATAACTTATTTAGTAAGTCAATAATTATTACCCATTATTTAAAAATGTATTAAAATACACCATGGTGGTGTGTTTAAAACCAATTTTGTAATTTATTGAATTTTAATCTTGAGTAAACAGTTTTAAATATGGGAACTATTTAATGGTGTATCTTTTAAAATTATAAACATAGATTTTATGAAAATATTAACTAGGTATGTTAAAATTTTTAGTTGTATGTGAAAAATAATTAATAATACCTAAATACTGGTTAATGTATCTGACTCATGGTGTTTGTAAACAACTCTCATAAAAAGGACATTGAAGCTTATTTTCTTGTATTCAATAATTTTGTGAGCAATGTAATTTAGTTTCTATTTAGTAATGAATTGAATTTCATTATATATATTTATTGTTGCTAAATATTTTAAATTTACATAGTTAAATACAATGCTAATAAAATTTAATTTTCTTAAATTTGTTTTTCAATTTACAGAGCCTTATTTTATGGTGGTCTTAAAGAATCTCATCAGTCTGAAGTTGCAATCACTGATGCATCTGTAAATTCATTTAAAAAACTTTTGGAGTACATTTATTCAGGACGGATGAATTTACTTATACTTCAGGTGAAATTCGTTTTTACTAATTAAACTATTAAATTGTGTTCCAAAATTTAATGAATAATATTATTATTTACAGGACGAAGTAATTTTAGAAATATTCAGTTTATCAAATCTATATGGTTTTACAAATTTGGAACTTTCCTTGTCTAAATATTTACGCAGTAATATTAATGTATGTAATGTGTGCTCCTTGTTTTCTGAAGCACGTTTATATCAGCATAAAGATTTAATTATTGAAGCATTAAATTTTATTGATAACCATGCATTGGAAGTAATTCAATCTGAAGGTTTTTTATCTTTATCATCTGTAAGTAGCATTGGATAATTATTTTATTTTATGAATACTATTGTATGAAATGTATTTTAGGAAGCACTTCAAGAAGTTCTTAATAGAGACTCATTGTATGCATATGAGTTAGATATATTTCGTGCAGTTTGTCGTTGGATTAAGGCAAATCAAGATGATGAAGATCCTGAAGCTAAAATTAAAGTTTTGTCTGCTGTCAGATATTCCTTAATGACTTTGGATGAATTACTATCAGTTGTCAGAGAATCACAACTTGTTAGTTCTGATAATATCTTAGACGCTATACAATTAAGAAACTCATTACCATCTCATAAACTGAAATTTCGTGGACAACTAAGTATGTATTTAATCTATTTTCTTAGTTGCCAATAATAATTACATGCTGTTTTTCTGGGTTTAAATTTTTTTTTGTTTATTTCAGAACCTAATTTGAATATAGCTCATCCTTCTCAAGGTGCACAAGTTATGCAGGGAGAAATGCGTTCAGCATTATTGGAATCTGATTCTACTAGCCATGATCATGAGCGGGGTTGTACTAGACATCTCATAAATGAAAGTGATGGCGGTATTATAATAAAATTAGGCGATCCTTCGATCATAAATTATATAAAAATGCAACTATGGGATAAAGATCTTAGGTAATAATAATTATTTCCAAATATTCAATACATTATTATTTAATTATTATTGTTTGTAATAAAGGTCTTATTCATATTATATCGAAGTGTCGATGGATCTAAATGATTGGGTGCGAGTTATAGATCATTCAAACTATTATTGTAGATCAACCCAACGCTTGTGGATACATACTCGAGTAGTACAATATATTCGTATTGTAGGAACCAACAATACTGTTAATAAATGTTTCCATACAGTTTCTTTGGAAGTAATGTATAATACCAAAGAAATGGATTTTGTAGATATTGAAAAAGGATTAGTGTGTAAGTATGATAATGAATAAAATAGATTAAAAATTACTATGCATTGATTTGAATCTCTTAGAATCCTTATCATTTAAAATGATACAAACTCTTATAAAAACTATTGGATCTAGTTATGTTCTTTATAAAGAACAATTTTTTTTACATTTCTGATAAGATTATTTCAATAACTTAAATAATAAAAGACAATTATAGTTAAAATGATTTGAAATTAAACCGAAAGATATTAAATATATAAAGCAGTTAAAAATGTTATTGTATTTTTAACTTATAATTATTTTATATTTTTGATAAACTGAAGAACATATTTAGTGATTATTATATTTTATGAGTATGCATATTTCAATTGTATTAAAAATTATAATTTTATATTTTAGCTCCTAAATATAATGTTGCTACTATGGCTATGAATGCTATTGTAATTGATGGAGTTAGTCGATCTCGAAATTCATTGTTGGATGGTAATTGTAAAGATTATGACTGGGATTGTGGTTACACATGTCATCAACTGGGTTCTGGATGTATACTAATTCAACTTGGACAACCTTATATGCTCAGTTCAATGAGGTAAATTGCATTATTATATTTTTATAGTTTATTGCAATTATTATTTTAAGATACATCATTATAACTATTGCTATTTGCATTAAATTTGTTTAATTATTATAGAATGCTACTTTGGGATTGTGATGATCGCTATTATAGTTACTATATTGAAGTATCAGTAAATATGTGTGATTGGGATTTGATTGTTGACAAAACTAATGAACTTGTACGATCTTGGCAACTTTTGCAGTTCAATCCTCGACCAGTTGTATTTATTCGTATAACTGGTACTTATAATTCAGCCAATGAAGTAAGTTCACTTAAGTAGACTATTACTTTTAATATATTTATGATAATTTCTTTTTAACCAAAGGTTTTTCATTGTGTTCATCTGGAGGCACCTGCTCCTCAAGCCTTATCAGATTCAACTACAGTTGATGAAGTTGAACAGAGTATTTCTAATTTACAAGTAACAATAAATAGTGTACGTTAAATAACTATTCATAAGTTCTAGATTAAATTTGTTATTAATATATTGTGTGGTTCATGTATATTTATAATATATCTACATTATATTTATAAATGTATAATATGGTTGAAGGCTGATGGCTGATTAGTAATCAAAATTTTAACTTGATCTATCTAGAATAGTTAGATTTGCTAAAACCTGATATTTGTGTGGATGTACACTATATATAAGTTTTTATCTATTAAAACCTATATATTTATTATCATCAATATAGGATATACACATTTTATCAATAACAATTGGATAAATAGATTATGTATTTTAATCGCTATGTAGTTGTTTACATATGTGATAGTTTTCTATTTAAAGTGAATTATTGTAAAATAGATTACTAATATTTAAGTTATTTGACTTGTTTTGCTGCACATGATATCAATTGTTTTAATTTCTATTTTAAACTTGTGGACCAGAATCATCTCAAATTTAAAATTCTTAGCATGTTGAGCAAATATAACAATAAAAGTATGTTGTTAGTCGTTACGTTATAAGTATTTGAAAATTTTTCAATTAAAATTGTCAAATAATTTTTAATGCAATATATAATACAATTAAAAAAAATATACATTCGGTTAGATAATCTAAAATAATCTTTTAAATTGTTTGATAAATAAATAGTTTATGTGTAGAAATAAATAAAAGCTTAGCCTGGAGTATTATTATTATTATATTTATAATAAAAAATCGGTTTTGAATTAAAAATTCATTATTAGATATACACAAAGTTAATATTAGCAGACTCACAATTTTATTGACTTTGTATATATTAAATTTAATATATTATATTATATGTACTTGATAATGAATTTTTAATTTAAAACCAGTTGTACATAACAAATATCATAATACATATTCAAGACTAAGTGTTTATTTATTTATTTATATAACTTATAGTTATTATATATTTATTTATTAATTTACGAATATTAATTACATTTATTCATTTTTATTTTATTATTTTAAATTGTATTTTATGAAACACAAAGTAGAACTCATCTGAAATGTTTATGTTCGTTAATGGATGCCAATAATTTCCTGAAATTGATTTTAATACATTTCATACATTTAGCTTAACAAAATATCTTAATTTTTGGTCAGCATCATAATAAGAACTAGTAGGATATGTATTCAAAAGTTAGGTCAATAAAATAATATTATTTCCCAACACAATTTTTAAATTATATTTGAGTATATCTTCAAAAGTATGTTTTGCCATGAGAGTGTTTGAGAAATGGTCTCTATACTTTTATGACAACAAAGAAAATAAATATTACTATGTGTAGTATTTCATGTACTACAACAATTGTATGAGTATGAATAATGACCCTGATTTCATGCTATTTTTTGTACTTCATTCGATACAATAACAGCACTTTTTTAATTTTATGACTCAATATATTGTAATTGTTTCTATTTATGTGTTTAGAATGTTAAAAAAACAAATGAGTCTGTGTCTTCGGAAACACCACCAACCACTGTAGCAGAAACGACTACAGCAACAGCAGTAGCAGGAATAGTAGATAGATTAAGTGTTTAAATTGTATTTGTTACTCTAGCATTTGCTTAATGTTCCTTGCGTGTCTCCTACAATATAGACTGAATGTTATATCAAATTGTTATTTTGGTTTTTTTTTGCATATAAATTTATAATTTTTCATTATATATATTTATAAATGGTAGTTAGTTTTTTAAATCAAATTATTTTTAATGTTTAAAATTTTATTTAATGTTATCTGTTTAACCTATAATTTATTACTTGTTTTTGAAAATAATATATTCTTGCACCATGTTATATTTTATTTCTAATTAAAAAAATATTATGTTATAATATATAATAATGTATTCTTGTATTTTAAATCATCATTTTTACTGCTTTTAATATAATATATGAGTGTTTGTATAATGTATTTATTTTTTATTATATTATTAATTCTTAACTTCAGAAATCAGACTCAATGTGTGATGTGCTGGTAAGAAATATAAATTATATACTATTGAATTAGTTAAAAAATAATGAGTTGTTATACATTTGTACTGTTTTTTAAGTATATTAAATGAATCAATTTAATGGTAAAGGGAAAATTTATCTAGAAGGAGAGGCTTTTTTTTTGAAAATTATTCTATCGATAAGTTCTTTACTTTTGAGTTTTGAACAGCAAATTCTAATAGCATAGTCTTTCGCAATTACCGAGGGGGGGGGGGGGGGGACAGAGCGACGGCCTGCTAAAACGGCATTATGAGATTAATTTTGAGGCAAAATTTCTGTGATTGAATATCTTCTGTGTCTAGAAACAAGAATAATAAAAATTATTAAAATTAAAAAATATAAAATGTACGACTATTAACAATTTCCTATCGATTTTACAGAAGTACGATATTTTATTTTTTTATCAGTTTTACAATCAATTTTTGATATCGCCAATGAATATTGGTGATTGTACTGTAGTGTTATATAACCATGGTTAAGGAACTGACTAAGTTTAATCTATTCTGTAGTTTAAGTATTCAATATTGTTAAGATCAACCAATAAAGTAACAAAAGCCCGAGAACTATAAAGTCTTTCTATCAGTCTATCTCGACATTGAATCGTTATTTGTTTTTCAGTTTACGACTTTCAATTTCAACTTTCGAGTAACTAAATTCTGACTATTCTTATTAATTATTATTATAAAAATTAAAAACATGTCCACCAAACTTAAACTGCTTAGTGATCACCAAAAACGAAAAATAAAAGAAAAAAAGATCTCGAATTTGAAAAAGCCAAAGGATCGTCGGATGCATTTGTAAGAAAAAAAAAAATGTATATAAGGTGGGTATGTTCTATGCAGTATTATTATTTATTACTATATTCTCAACTCATTATTCAACTAATTGGTGGAATACATGAAAAATAGAAAATTTACATTATTTTATAATAAATCATAATATATATTATTATTATTTACGTATCTATGTTGTTTAATACTAAATATTAGTATTTAAAAAAAAAAAAAAAAAATAAATATTACTAGTTAGAAATAATTAATTTGATAGGTACCTATAATCTGGTTTTTTAAGTTTGTCGTTTAACTAATAAATAGGTATCCACTTTTAAACCGTTATATCTAATAAGCTTTGTTGAATTTAATAATATATCAATTATGGACTCCCCTAGAACTCGAGTTTAGGCTGTGATGTATTATTTTTTCGGGTCCAAAATGCGCTACGTTACGTTTTTTTCGTTCACGACAGTTGATTTTAAGAATATAAGAAATTGAACGGAAAAATATTAAAATTTCAAGTAATAAATTTCGTTATTCGGCCGGAGGACCATGATCCTGAAACCAGAACCGCCCCCGAACTACTGTTCCACTGCTTATACTGTCGTATCACCTCCACGTCCATTGTTCAAAACTGTCGCGGATAAAAATAAAAGTTAAAAAAAAACGTGCCTCGGTTGCCTATACACAGCGCCGTCCGACAGAGATCGTAAATCAGTATTTATTCGCGATATGTAATAAATAATAATTAAGACGAAATTCAGTCAAAGTAAATAATAAATCCTCATAACGACACTTATCGACCGGCATAAATTATATGAAGTTCTCTTTTGAATAACATTAATTCCCTGCAGTTCGGCGTACAATCATGTTTGTATGTACATACAATAGGTATTGCGGAATTAACCGATGCTTAAAATAAAACTCTCCGCGAAAATCTTTTGGAAAAGCTTTGATATTGTTTTGAAACAATTGGAAGTGCAAAAATGCATCCCCCGTATTTCCGCGACAGTCGTTTTTGTTGCTGTTAAACCGTCAACTGTTGCGGCCGGATCGGACACACGACGGACATAAGCACGTCGATTCTTCGCAAAACAGTAAGGAAATAAATGATAATAATAATGATTTCGAAGTAGAACTCCGTAGTATAGGTGCATTCAGTTTTTAGAATCTGCATACTTCGCGTTGGTTTGATCGCAATATTCGGTGGGTAAAAAACCCCAAACGTGAGCAAATCGGTTTTAGGAATATCGCTATTCGGCATTTTTCGATCGGAAAACGGACTAGGGAACGTACCGGAAAAGAAAAGTAATCACGGTTGCGCTGTACGTAATGTAGTGCGGATTTCCTGTGCGCGAAAAGCCATATACTTATTTTGAAACTGTTCTGCGCGATGGAAAATATATATATATAAATATATAGATATTTTACCAAATCTCGTTCGCAAAAGTCCGAACCACGAAAAATCATTCGTTTTCGATCGAGACCTACGACCTCCACCGGTAAACTCTGGGTTTAACCGTACACTTACCGTAACACGCATGTGTGTGTGTGCAAAGATGAACTGTACAAGCACGTAGATTACCTGCTCGCGCGGAGCGTGTACGCCGTCGGTGAGCATTAAAATTACAACAAAGGTAAATAACTTATTGTTCGCGAGGCTTTTGCAAAGTTCACCGCCGCCGCACGGCTAACGCCGGATTTATGTAAGGCGCGGCTAACGCGCGGCACTCGAGCGGAAATTATTGCCGTTCTCTCCCTTATCCATTATCCTCCCGGGTCCCCCCATCCGGGATTTTTCCTCACGGTAAAAGGGTTGTTCCCGTAAACGGGTGGCATAATAAACACCAATTCAATGTTTTAAAACAATAATCGCGCGGTCGGGCCGAACCCGTGCGAAACGTGCACAAGCCGACGGAGCGCGCGTTTCCATTATTTTCACGCGCGTTACGTTCTCGCACACAACATTTAGTTACATTTTAATGACAATACCACGTATCCGACGTCTTACGTGAAACGAGTTTTCGGCATCAAAATATCTGTTATCTCCTCGCGCACAACATTTATTCTCCGTACAATTACCTATAAGAGAAATTATTTCCCCTCCAAATTGGATATATTATTTAGTATTTCTATAAATTTCGACCGTGTTAAAGCACTGCTCAATCACACGTGTCTCACGAAAACTTTAGTGAACACCAAGTGACTACAATAAACTTTAAACAGCAACCAAATTTAAAGAATTTTATTAAAAATAACATATGAGGTGTATAATATTTGTTAATATTTATTCAGTTTTTTCACTCTCCTGAACAATTGGTGAAATGTAGATATGTGGTATTGCCATTAGTGTAACAATTTGTATTACTATTACCAGCAGTGGCGTACCAATGGGGGGAAGAGCTATGGGCGTTATAGCCGCTTCCCCTCTTACGGGTTGAGTTTACGTGTACGTTTACGTAACCGGTACATATTACTGTTTGGTACTGTTACGATTTTAAAAGTAAGCGCACAATTTATTTTCCAAGCCTTGAAACGTATTGTTTCGATTGATATTTTGTTAAAGAATAAATCATGATCTTATGTTAAACATGTGTAGAAGGTAGTTTGTAAATAAAACAATCCATTATTTCTTTTGAAGTGAATGTATAAAAATATAGTTGGTGCCCTATAAATATGTTTTTTTCCCCGAGTTCCTTAGAGGTGGCCAGTACGAGTCTGTCACCAACCGATCTCCCCAAACACTATCGTAGCTAAATATACCGACGATAAGGCAAATCTTCTACTCCATCTCCACGAACTTGAGTCATGGTGTAAAAATCGTAAAGTCAAATTAAATTAAAACAAATCATATCATGCACTTAGAAACGAAATATGCCCACCGACAACATAAACTAACAAACCGAGAATTATTATCATATCTAACGGTCATTATCATTAGATTAAAAATACAATCATCATAATTGAAAAATTAAAAATAACCGATATTTCAAACTTTAAAATGTAAACGGAAAAATGGACAAGACCTCAAGGTCGGGCGAGGTACTGGGACGGTTGATATTGCTGAATTGGTATTTAAAACTTAAAATTAATCCACACATCATGGTAAAATATTTTTCGTTTCGCGCAGAATCTAAAAAAAAATATATATTTTCATATTTTTGTTTACTTTAAGTAAATTGGCTTGCGAGTGGCATTGTATTACGTCATTTTCAAGTTATTTAATATTTAAAATTATTTATTTCTCCAAAAAGAAGTACAAATATTTGCTAGAAAAAATGTAACATTATTTCAACGTTTACTGTAGAGAAAATCGAAAAATTACTTGCTTAAAATCTCTTTAAAGGTCCCTCCTGGGTCCAATTTCCGATCTTATAAGATACATAGTGTAGTTCATACAAGACTTTTTGATCATATTTATTACCTGAAAAAGTGTTTACTAAAAAAAAAAAAAGAAAGAAACATTGTAAAATCGATATACGTACACCTTCGTTTCAGTCAGCGTCTGAAATGTTATACTGAAATTTCTGGGTTGGGAACATTTGTAATTTAATTACAAAGTAATTTTTTTTTAAAAATTACGAATAAAACCATAAAGTTAAATCATTTACTAAATTTAATACTATAATAATCTTATTGGGCTATTCGTTTGTTTTAAATAATTAAACTCTTAAAGTTCTGTTTATACGAAATACATAGTAGTAATTTAAAACAATTATAAATATTATATTAAAAATTATAATTATTCTATAAACGATGCTCTAGTGATACTTCTGCTCATTATATCCAATATATTATGTACGAAAAAAAAATATAATAGTTGACTTATAGTTACAGCTCTTTTATCTTTTGAATTTATGTTCTATTTCAATGTGTTGTTCTTGTCCACGATTTCTATTGCATTGATTGATCATTAGGAA